GGGTCATGGGTTTAGGGGCAGAGCTGGACTCCCAACCCAGGGCTCACCCCACGTTACCCCAGGGAAGCCCCAACCTCATGCAGGGCCGCTTTGCCAGTCTGGCATCGCTGCTTGGGATTCTGCTTTGCACATGTTGGTGTTTGCAATCAGAAAGTTCAGCGGCCCTTCCAGTGTGCTCTAATTAGTCCCCATGAAAACCAAATCATTTCATTTGCAGAGAAGGGCTTAATTGCAAGGGGGATGAGGCAAAGGGAATTCTGTTGCCTGTTTTCATTGAAAAAAATTACTGTACTTTCCCCTGTCTCCTTACTAAACAGAAGCAGCTTAGAAATCGGGCTGTAATCACCAGTGATACCTCTGCTACCCTTTCTTCTCAGAGCCTGCTCAGTAATTCCCCTCTCCTGAGACCCTGCTCTGAGCCGTTCTTGCCTGTCTGCCTGGCCTGAGCAGCCGGTTCCAGCCCTGGTGCTGGGTAGCACCTCCCCGGTTTGGCTGGAGTCTCACCTCACCCCTGAGATGTTGAGAGGATCGCCCGAGATGTCACAGGGGCCTCAGCCAGGGATCGGCCCACACTCTTGGCAGGAAGAAACATCTCATCACTTTCTTTCAAAAACACATGAAATCTTCTCCAAGCCCCCACTCACCAGGGCTGCAGAGAAGTCACGTTTCGGATGAAAGGCATCCCCAATCAATATCTTATACAAATCCTGGGGCTTGTCTGCTTTGGTGCCTGGCAAAAAGTAGGGGACCTGGACCATCTTCACCACAGCTCCTGTCCTAGGATGCTGTGGACTGGCAGGTCCTTGGGGCTCTGTTGGGTGTCCCCCAGGAGGAACTCCAGCAAACAGACCCCCTCCTGTCTGGGGAGGCTGGTTCCCTCTCTGCTTCTCTGCCCAAGAACCCCACCCTGGCTCTGATAGTCCAGCCCGATTCCCACTGTAGCCAGTGTTTCCCTGGGGAGGGGCTATGGACCCTTCAGGGAGCCAGGTAACAGGCTGGTAACCTGCAGGGGGCAGGTGCATGAAGAAGTAAAATATGTAGCACGTCTAGTGTTAAGAGAGAAATACAGGAGGACTGGGCCCTAGAGGGTGTGCAGGGTGGGCGGGCAGCTACAACTCCCCACGGGGATGGTGGTCTGGAGGAGGGAGTGAGCCACGTGTAGACTGGGGGTGGGAGGGATCAGCAGGGTGGGTGGGACAGCTAGCACAGAGGCTCAGAGGCAGGAGTGGGCCTGGTCAGGGCGAGGGCGGCAAGGTGTGTGGCCCGAGTCGGGGGAGAGCGAGAGGGCAGGTCAGAGGAACCTCCCAGAGCCTCTGTGAGGTCCTGGCTGTTTGTTTGGAATGAAGTGGTTTTATTCTGCTCCGGAAAACCCACAGCAGCACAACAGATCCGAGAGTGGCTTCCTCTTCCTTTCTTTGGAGAAGGGAAGAGAGCTGGGCTGCCTGGGTTCAAACCCCGGCTCCATTACCTTCCTGACCTGGCCACGCCCTCAGTTCCCCCCCCTGCCCTGCAACCAGGGTGGGTAACAACAGCACCTGCGGCATGGGGCCATCCTGAGGCTTCAGTGTGCTACGGTGAGCACGCTATAATGCTATCCTGTGTTGAATAATCTTATCATGTCTTTAAAAAAAAATTTTTTTTTTTAAAATTTTTTGGCTGTGCCACGCAGCATGTAAAATCCTAATTCCCTGACCAGGGATCGAACCTGTGCTCCCTGCATTGGAAGCGCAGAGTTCCAACCACTGGACTGCCAGGGAAGTCCCTATCATGCCCTTCTTAGTAACTTCCCCTGCTACAGGGATAAGTTGATTGGCCCGAGGTCCCTGCCAATAAAGGGCAGAGTTGGTCCTGAGGATGCCGTGTCCCCACCCCCACCCGCTGGAAACACGGCGGCACCAGGCAGCATCGTGCCCCCCATTCACCCCTTTGCCTCTCTTTTCCCCGGGCGCATCATGGGACCCGCTGTCCAGATTCTCTTCTTTCTTGAGCATTCTCTGGGGATGGGGGTGCAGAAGCTGGCCTGGCTGCCCGAGGAGGGCTGTTTTGGAGCAGTTGGGTTGACTTCCTGCATAACTGCTCCCCTGATCCCTCCTTTTGGGGGCGGCTGACAGGATAATGGATTTGAGTCCACACACCTGCCTCAATGAAAGGTTTTTTTTTTTTGAGGCTCAAAGTCAACGGTGTATTAATTAAGGGGGAACAGATGCTACAGCAGTTCTTATGATAAGTCAGTGACAAATGGCCCTGTTTACCTTTTTCCCAAGCAGAGACTCCGGAAGGTGGCCTGGAGCTCCTGGGTGGACGTCCACGGGCGAGATTTGTGGGGTATACCTCTCCCTCCCTCAGCCCTCAAGCTTCTTTATTGGTGCCCCCCGAGTCCGAGAGGGCCGTTCGTCACCAAGGAAGACAGGGCTGCAGCTTGCGGAGCCTTGGAAGGGACTGGGCGGAGCAGCAGAAACTTCTCAACAGTGGCCCCCACCCAATGATGCCCTCAGACCCCTTCCTCGGGCAAATCCCACCACCCCACGCTGTTCCTTCTGAAATCAGAGTCGCTGAAAAGGGGGCTTGGCCCTTCAAAGCTGAGAAAGGGTACAGAGTTGAGCCGAGACGCCTCGCTCGGGGCTTTTGTGCCAGGCGCTCTCTACCATAAAGGAAGAGGCTGGACATTGGGGGCCTTTTGTTATTTCTTTATTTTGATCTCCCTCCTGCTGTCCAAACAGCATCACAGAAATAAAGCCTTGCATTAACTCCCTTCTCAGCTTAAAATGAAACACGGCAGCACGAAAATCTTGTACTGAAAACCAGAAAAAGGAAAGATGGGCTCATTTTTTTCTGAGTTGTGTTTCTGGGTCCTTGACTATCAATTTACCCACCGAGTTTCCAGCTAATGGGAGGATAGCAGGATGGCGCTCACGTACCAGTCGGACCTGTGTGGACAGGCCGGCAGGGTGGTGGAGCAGCCTTCCTCCCAGGCTGAGAAAATGAAGGCCCCGCTGCAAGGGGTGCGGACCCCCAATGCCAGCAGCTCGCCCGCTGCGCCCCCAGGGTAGAGGCAGTGCTGGTGGAGAGCGGCAGGACCCCCAAAGCACTCCCAGCAAACCCCTGCCTCCACTGCAGGTGGGGGACCCCCACGTGTCCCCGGGGCTGTGCTGTTCTCCCCAGTGACCGGCCCAGAGGAGACAAGTCTGCCATCTATGTCAACCTCCTGCCTCCTGGGAGACACCATCAGCTGCCAAGAGGCCTCGTCCAACCTCACCCGCCTCTTCCTTCCTCCGCCTCCCAGGGCTGGTGCTGAGCACCTCCAGGAGCCTCTGGGGCCTCGAGGAAGGCAGAAATGGGGCGGGAGGAAAGAGGCTCTATTGGCCCCCACTCCTTGCCACCCACAGGAACCAGGCGTGCATCTTGTGAGTTCACCCTGCAGGGTAGGTCGTCACACCGTGTTATAAACGTGGAAACCAAGGCTCCGAGGTATGTGGTTTGCCCGAGAACCCGTCACAGGGAGGCCGCTCTCTTCCAGCTGACCTCTCCCGGGCCAGCGCTTAATGACTCAGGACGTTGCCTCTCCTTACACGTTGCTTTGAGGAAAGAGGAAAAGAACCACGGACGAGAAACACATCCATTTTTAATAAATAGTTTATTTATCCAACAGTTTCAGCCCTGACAGTGAAGCCTGTTGCAGTTTGTTCTTCTGGCTGGAGCCTGATTATGAGACTGCTGCGTTGCCACGGCGCCGGCGCTCGGATTCCGGCCCCGCCGATCACCCAGACATCAGAGGAAATGAGAGAGAGTATTGCTCAAATGAGAGAGACTGGCGCTTTATTAAGGAAACAAAAAATACCAATAAGACCAGAGAGAGGTGCTTAATGCCTTTTGGAGGCAGCTGTTCCGTCGCCTCGGCACCCCCCCACCTCTCCCGCCCGCCGCGGAAGAGAACTTGTGGAGATGCTGCTCTGATGGAGAGGCTCCCGGCCCTTAACTAATAAGGCCCCCGCGGAGGTTTCCGGAGGTCGCTCCGCCTGTTGGGGAGGCTCTGGCGGGCGGGCGAAGGTCCAGGCAGCGGGTCGCTCCCGGTGGCCAGCAGAGGGAGGAGGTGCGGCCACACCCTGCGCACCGAAACCACTGGCTGAAGTTCCCGCCAAAGTGCGCGGGGTGGGGAGGGGTGGTCGCCATAAACGAGGCGATCTTCACCCATAAGAAGTGCAAGGATCCCCAGGTCCTGGAGCGCGATCTGGTGATGCGCCGCGGCTGCAGGCCTGGACTGGGGAGGCCGCCTCCGGTGGGGCCGCCCAGATGGGGGCTGGCGGCCGCTCAACCCTCCTCTCTGCTCTGGGGGGCGCGTCGTCGCCGACTCCAGGTTCCTCCTGGGGCCACCCTAGCTGCTCATTCCTCCCGACCTGGGGCCCCATGTGCCCGGGGCCATGTGTCTAGACAGTTCTCCTACAATACTTGTTCTAATTTCTAGCACCTTACCCCTCCGGGGTAAGAGGCCCAATCCAGCTAGAGGACAGGCTTTCTCCCCTCACCCTTGAGCTCCCACGTAACACCCCCCGAAGGCACATGACCAAGCTGCTCCCCAACCCCTGCCGTCCCAGCCGCCACCCCGACCCACCTCCCACGGGCGCGGGGCCCACCTCCCTGCCGCGTGCTCCGCACACCCAGCTGCACACTTGCTCTGCAGGGGCTCATGGCTGCTGAGCTTTTATCTTTTCATGAAAACCCTTCTCCCCTTTCTGCCAGCAAAATGGGGCAGAGCATCGGACCAATGCACAGGGCAGCTGCCCACCTGGCCTTCTCCCCTGGCCTTTTGAGGGAGCCCACGCTTTCCCTCTGAAAGCTCGTCTCTGAAGAGTCTCACAGAGACATCTTTGGAACCAGGGTCAGGGGGAGGGTGAAAGTCAAGGCAAGTGTGAACTCAGCACCAGCAGGATGGTGGCCCTCTCACGCCCCTGGACGGGACTGGCCGGGGACAGGCTGATTGGGAACAGGCCCCCGCCCAGGGTTTATCGCTCTGAGTCAGAGAAGGAAGAGGGCTTAGTCCATCTCCACACCAGCATGTCTTCTCCGGCCACGCGGTGGGACTCTGTCTGGATCCGGGATTCGTTGGAGGCCAGGAACTCCACGGCCCGGTCCCAGACCCGCTTCATGCGTCTCCTGCAACAAGGGATGGGGGTGCAGGCTCAGCAGGCAAGCGGCGCCCTTGGCCGCTGTGCCCAGCGCTGCCCAGAGAGGCAAACTGGTCTCTGGATGCCCTCTGTACAAAAGGGGGGACAAAGCTCCATGATCCCACACAGAATTTATCTGCGGGAAGGGGGATCAGGTACTAACTGGACTCCTGCAGAGGAGAGAAATTTCTTGGGCCCCAGAGAAATGATTCCTCAACATTCTCTGCTCCAAAAGCCTTCAATTAAAGTGAGCTGAAAGGGGCTGGAGCACCGCCCCCACCACAGGTGTCCAAGTAGGAAGACTCTTGCTGGGACCCATTACTGCTACAGCCCAGCCCAGTGCAGGCTGCATTTTAATGCCCCTCCAGTGCAGGCTGCATTTTAATGCCTCGTGTGGGCTAATTAAAAAGAGTGGCCACTGGGCTGTTGAGTCCAGACTCCACAGCACTTCAGGGGATGGGGATGAACTAGGCATCCAACCGGGGAGGCCAAGACGCTGGAGCTGCTTTTGGAACCTGAGTCACCAGGTAGGGCCCCTTCGCAGACACCAGAGCTCCTGCTCTGCCGTATCCCTGGGGCCTTGCACCCCCTCGGACAGCCCCCTATTTCCTCGTTCCCCCTCCAAACTAGACAGGAAGATTCCAGGGCAGTGGGGGAGGGCTGCTTTGACACCTACACTTCAGTGAGCCCTGGCCTCCTGTCTGACTGCAGACCACTCCCCAGCACCCCACACGTGCAGAGCGAATATGGGTATGTGTGGAAGCAGGGGGTTCAGCTGGGAGAGCACAAATGGAGGGAAACTCCCGGGATGGCCCACGTGTCAGGAGGCAGAGTGGGGTGGTGGGGCTTTCTTCCCGGGGGGTGAGGTCCTGCTGCCAACCAAACCCCACGGCTGCTCAGCAGCCCCCACCTGGCTGGTCTGGCCCTGGCCACACAAGCCCTGGGGGCTGAGCCCCTCACACCGGGTCCCTGAGTGGGGGGCACTGGCACTGTGTGGGGGCCGTGGCCTCATCCCCAGCCCCCTTCCCAGGCCGCCCGTTACCAGGTGATGTACAAGCCGCCCCCGTGTGCCTCCCTGGACAAGCTCTTCAGATCTCCCCCAACCTCCCACAAGCGGGCCCTCATCCATAGGGCAGTATGCCCACGCAGGGCCCACAGGAGCTGATGGGTCCTTACGAGTCGAGAGCTCGGCTACACTGACCAGGTGGCTGAGCCTCCTGGGTTTACGGACAGGGGTCCAGACCCTGCGGGGCAGCTGCCCGCCTGCAGTCTCTGCTGATGCACAGGAGCCGGGGTGTGGTGGCTCAGGCCCCCGATAAGCTGCAGTGCCACTTCCTGCTCTTATTAAAATGGCCATGCGTGCTGCCCTTTGATGAGGGCTCAAGTGCTCCGTGCTGCCTCGGTGAGGTGGGAGGCCACCTCTCTGACACCCTGCTCCCCTTTCCTTAAGACCTGCCACTACCTAGTGGCAACACATTTTCCTCATGCATCTTGTCTTCTGTCTTTCTCCCCAGAACCAATGCTCCAGCAGGGCAGGGATTTTTGCTTCTTCCTCTCCCTGTCTCCCCATGACCCAGTAGAGTGTGGTGCTCAATAAACAGTAGGTGCTCAATAAGTATTTGTTGAGAAAATGAATGAATGATGGCCTCTCTTCAACACAGCCCTCTGCAAGGGTGTGGGATTATCTCTATGTTACAGCTCAAACAGGGCGTTACCCATGGTCACATGATGATGAATTCTGGCAGGTCCAGGAATTAGGGGGAGTCTGGATCTACCAGTGGCCTCCCCTGAGAGCTGGAGGGCTGTGTGGCAGACTCATGCTGGCGACCAACAGCTAGCACAAGCCCCACACCGTGGCTGGTCTGCTCTAAGCTTCCTGCCTGCCACTGTCCCAGGGGTGGGGTGGACATGAGAGCTATTAAGCATTTTCACTTTTTTTTTTTTTTTTTTTTTTGG